TGTGCACCAGACTGAGCGCTGGTGGGGAATCATTTCTAGGCCGCAACTCCACCTGCGAAAATCAGACTCTGCATGAGCGAGGCCCAGGAATCTGTTTTCAACAAACACCACAAGGAGTTTGCGGGTGCTAGCCTGGGCTGGTCAACTGACTAGTCTGGAGTCCCCTTTTGGCAGTCAGGATGTCAGCTTATGTAACTCCCGACTTCCTCAGACTTGTTCTGGGGACCGCTGCCCACGTCCATGCGCATGGGCAGTGCCGGTCACAGCGCAGCCATGGTTGCTGAGCCCAGGCCCGCCTCTTGCTCTCCCTGGAGACAGTGCTGCCTCTCACCAAAATGGGACAAATGGGAAGTGGAGGCAGGCAGTGGCACAGGGGCCTGGGCAAGGACCACCAGCTCACCCACCAAAGACACCACAAGCCCACCCTCTCCCTGGACCTGCCAGCACATCTGCTAACAGTTCTGGACACCTCTACGGGTGGATTCAGGGACCTGAGCTCAGTTCCAAAGCGGAAATGTCACTTTGACTCCCTGCCCCCACCACCCCCATTCCATGGTGCAAAGCCCAGCTCCACACACAGCAACACATCATCGTGGGACAGGAGAGGAGCTGGAGCCCACGGTGTCACCACACTCTCTCACTTGGGCGAGAAGTGCTCTCTGCACCACCATCCTCTGGGTTGCAAACCACAATAGCCACCCACCCACATGTGCATTCATGTACTCACATAGGAAAGACCTTGAGAGGGAAGTGTTTCTTTAAAAAAGAATCCAACTCTCTCGGGAACCAGCAGTTAGCGTAATGGCTATGTCACTGGACTCCCACGTAGTCGACCATGGTTTGCATCTCGGACCCGGTGGCTTAAAACTCACGCCGGGTGTGTGTGTGTGCATGCCCAAGATCCCGAGAGGAGAATGGAGGAGAAGGGATTGCAGTGTGACCATCCCCCCTGGGGGGTGATTTCTCGCTTTCTGTCTCTCTGTCTGTCTGGCGAGCGCACGTGCCCTATAGCAAAAACCTC